CCCCCCCCCCCCTCTCCCAGGAGACCGCCCTAGAACCGCCTATGCGCAGCGCAGCTAGGCCAGAACTATTAATCCCGAACTGCAAAACTCTAGTTAGCCTGCTGCTTGATGTATGCATGCCATCATCTTCCGCTATCTATAAAACCATTATAATTCCATATATCAAAAAATGCCTAATTATGCTATGGCACATAGTTGAGCGAAGGTCTCCAAATTCGAAACAAGTTTTGCAAAAATCAATAATTTGAACCTTCGTGTGAATTCGTCAATTTGGCACTGATTTTCATGCGTGATACGTTCATATGCATCGGTGCCGATCAGTGCGCTACTGAGTTCGGCAGCGGATCGAGCGGCTGCTTCAGTCCGGCTCGCTTGCTCAAACGAAACATGCTGCAGTGCTTCTAATTCCGACAATCTGAAGAAAAAAAAAGGAAAATTGCGCTCCTGGCGCAATTTTTGATAAAAAGACGTTGCCAAAGCTATCAGCTTGGATCAGATAGACATGAAAGTAATCACGAGACTTTTCATATAGATTCCCACTTCACGGATCTTCATTTCCAAGCCGATGATGCACGCAGGCCCCTATTGAAATTCGAACCTTCGATGCCCGATTGTAACACACTCCAATTAGCCAACAACCTACGAGCGATGTGTTCCCTATTTGCGCAAATAAACACTCCTAGTGAACGAAGCTTTTATGCAGCATACCTCTGCCACTGCCACGTGATTTTGAATATTAATTTAATCCAAAGTTTTGTTCACTTTAAACTGAACACGAATCTTTGTTATAGAGCCAAAACACAATAAATTTACTCCCCAGTTCTATTTAAAATAAAAATGGTAGCGAAAAACCCTGAAGCAGGAGCGTGGTGCGCAATAACAATTTAGAAGTTCCAGTAACCAGTTTTGCAAGCTGCATTTTATTTATTATTTTGCAACAGCCATCAAAATTTTTGTGTTTTTTTTTTGTTTTTTGCAAAGTTTTTTTGTTTTACAAAGTTTCGCAAAAAGCAAAAAAAATTTTTTGTTTTTTGAAAGCCGCGCAGGCCAGCCTCCTTGTTGGCAAGTGACCACTTTGAGGACTAGGGGTTGGCAACTTCCGAAGTAGTCCCGGAATCAATATATTTAAAGTGTTTTAGAAATTTTCAAGATGTAAGCTATGAGAGTTTGTTTGGCACTAAGGCCCGCCGATGAGAGGGACACAGTCGAACATTGAAAGTTATGGGAAAGCAGGAAGTGCCAATTCAGACACTCAAATAAGCGAGTCTGTATATGAATTAGCTATTTTTCTGTCTGTGTTTCATCCCCAAACTGTAAATACAGTCGGCAGAACCGGTGCGGAATAAGGTAGGAAGCGTATAAAACTAACATTTCGGACATTTGTGCACTCTGTGCCATCACATCGGTGTTACGTGCTCGAGCTTCAGCTGTTGATATTTTCTGCTCCAAATCAGTGATTGACTCGTTCAGGCTTTCCACATTTTGTGAATATGCCAAAGCTAGCGATTTCAGCTGGCTCAAAAATGCCGATAGGTCGTGACAATTTTGAAGTAAGATCTCGTAATCTGTCTGAAAAAAAAAATTATCTTAGAATACCAAAACTGCTCTCACAATCGTTGTAGGAATCCTAACATCGTGACTTCTGGGCTTTTATGGGAAGTTCTCCAAATTATAACCATGGAAAATATAAGGAGGACGGAAGAAAAGCTCGATTACATAGGTACAGTAAGAACCGGGGTAAGACGTACTAGCCAAAAAAGAAAAAAAAAGCTCAGAAAGGCCACATTATGCTTGAATAAACACAGCGTAGACACAATGCGCCTCTTTTAGACAGAAAGTGGAATATTCTAAAAAAAATTTGGAAAAAATTCACGTTACCTGAAGTCTACTGATGGTAGCAGTTAATTCATGGGCATCGATGGATGGAAACTGGGCATTTGGATATTGCATGCGCATTTCAACAACGTAACCATCGATTTCGGACTGGATACGCGCACTCAGTGCAGTAATGCTTTTCAGACGTGCTTCAGCTGCCACAACTTCATCCATAATTTCCTGCATAAAAAAAAATGTTTTTTTAAAATAAAAAGATTTTAACTCTTTTTTAATTAATTTATTTTTTAATATCAACTTTTTAACAAAGTAAAACTATTTATACTTTATGATGCTTGGACCAAAACAGGATGTATAATCGGTGTGGGAGGTCTTACTTTAGTTATACTACCGGTATACTTTCACATGCCGAGAGTAACTATGTGGGGCTCTTTGAATTTGAGCTGTATATCGGTAGTTATCACAGTATACACCATTTGTACGTGTACGAATTCTTCGGGAGCCGCTTAAGTAGTTTTCTATTTCATAATATTACATATGAAGCCTTTGCTGGTAAGCGTAGCATAATGGTGTAATATTGAATTTTCTAAGTTCTTAATAAAACACAGAATTTTCGTTGTACAATAATTAGTCTCTAATATCCTACCACAAAAAAAGTGAGTTTTGCAGTATTTTGTTTTTGTCACCCGTGTCCTTCTGTTCTTTTATGACTGTTTCATTCAATAGTATGATTCAGGAAAGTGCCAATTCGGTTGAACAAACTTAACAACATAGATTTCTGAGCGTTATTCAAAGATACGGATCACCAGGAAATAAAAAAATGTAAAAATAACAGTTAGTCTTCGTAAAGCAGAGAAAGTTTCCCAATATTATCAATGGAAGACATTTTAAAATAAAAGTTTACCTTAGCCAACTGACGGGATTTGTTCAGCAGCTGTGGATCGCCGCTTTCTGCTTTCAGGATCGTAAGTTCTCTCGTTTTTTCATTGATGAACGAGTGTAACAAGCTCGACTCGTTTGAAAATTCCAAAAGAAATTTCGTTAAATCGCTTAGCCTTAAAAAATTTAAACGGAATTAATACACTCATTGATTTTGCAGGAGAAAAATCGTTAATAACAACAACGACTGCACGTATTATACTGCAGTAACACTAAGTTTTTACAGCATAAGTTGTCTTCAAAGGCTATGTTATTACTTGCTACTGTGATAATTACCCCTGCATTTGGAGCCAGGTAATTTTGGAAAGAAGTAGCTATACGTGTAGCTACAAGTAGCTAAAATGTTTTCCATAAGTAGCTAAAATTAAAACCTAAAATCCAAATAATCTAAAAAAAATCCAAAAAGAAAATACAAAACCCAAAAGAAGTAGCTAAAATCAAAACCCTCTTCACAGTCACTCGCTTTACGTCAAAAGCAGTTATACGATGACAAGTTCCAGCAATAATAATCTGTAGCAAGGCTGTCGATGGCTCTATTTCTCAAGGGTATAAAGCTAATGTTTCCCTGGCATATGCCAATACCTTTGGTTTTCAAAAAAAAAGCAAAAATAATGAGTAATACCTAGCTAATGCAGCATCCGTATTTTGCAGCAACTGATTGTACATCGTCTCAAGTCTATTTCGATGGTCTTTGAGACTGTGGAACTGATCCGGTGTGAGCAATTCAGCACCCTGGGTGCATAAGCGATCCACTTCCTCGATACTTTCCTGGATCTTCGACGTGTACGACAGTACCTCCGAGCGCATCTCCTTAATCAAAAGGTGTCAAATTTTAGCTCCAGTGTAACAGATTTTTGGAAGAAAATTCAGATCAATGATAATCTCTGCGCCTTAGAAAACGTTTTACAAAAAAGTGCAAAATAACTAGGAAAAAAATAAAGGCTAAGAACTAAAACTTTCTTTTTGCCTATTTTTTACCAGAAACAAAGGTATTAGGAAATAGCTCGAACGGTATATAGCAGGTATCAGTGGTAAAAACAAGGTAAATTTGTGAAAAGCGACGAGTAAAAAACTTTTTCATTGAGCAAAAAAATTTTTTTAGTGAGCAAAATTTTTCAAAAAATGCAAAAAAGGTAAAAAAAGCTCAAGAAAACTACGGTACTGTGGACAACAGATGCATGGATCTAACGCTACTAAAGCACTGGGACGCTCCCAGAAGCCAATTTCAACTATTTCAGATTCTTTGACCTTACTTGGCATACTTCCAGTAATTAATTATCGCTCGTTCCATATATATACACCATCTCACAATCTCATATCAAAAAAGCCCCAATTTGCCGCGACATTTTTATATAAAATTGCAATTTTTCTTTCAAATTTTTCGGATACATTCCTCACCAAAAAATCCACGATAATGAAGAAAATGAAAAAAGGCAACCTGCATGCGATCATGTGCAGACGAAGCATCTTCCGCAGAAGTGACCAGCCAAAATCGCTCCGAAATTGTTGAATTCATTGTGCTGAATTTTTGCAGAATTTCCGACATTTGTGTTTGTCTTTCAATACATTCACTGTGCAAATTCTCCTGCAACTCATCCACAAATCATATTCGCTGAATAAATTTCCAGGGTTGATAAATGAACTTTTAAAGTGGTAGCAAATTTAAATATATATATATATTTTTATATATATTTAATATATATATATATATATATGTTTTTTTTTTTATAAAAATACGTAGAAAGAATGTTACCTCACTAGCGAAACTCTCACAGCGCCTCACTGACCCGTATTCCGACAACTAATATTGTAGTATCAGCGCTCTTAAAAATGTTGCAAGGCTCCCAAATTTACACTTCTCCCACCAAAAATCACATGCACCAAGCATGCTAAAAATTTATTTGAATTCCGAATCAATAATTCATTAAATCGCTATTTTCCGCCATAAAAAAAAACACTGTTTGGACCTAATCAGAAAGGTACCTTACCGTATTTTTCGGCGAAATCAAAGACATAACAACAACTACCAAAGATATCCGGAAACAGTAAAATTTCGTGAAGTACTTTTGTTCGGGGAAACCGCTAAGCTAATGAAGTTTTTTGGGGTCTTAAGGATCTTCAGCAGGTCAGTAAGCGCTGTAGCATTGCTTGAAGTAACTGGAAAAGTTGTCAACGCCATGCTTGAAGACCAGAAGACGGCATCTATCATAACTATTTCGACCTATTCGAGGATGCTGGACTGAAAAGAACCCGCATTATTCCAAACAGGCTTAAAAGATTCCGGGCTTTGAATTTGGCAGGTATATGATTTTAATTTTAGTTTATTTTTTAATTCATTAAACTTCGGTAATCACAAAACTTATGTCTAAGAAAATACAGGCTGTAGCCAACCAAATTTTTTACACAGTTTTTATGCGTTTTTTGCAGCTAAGCAATGCAGAAAACGCACATTGACGAGGGGTTGTCTGTGTGTGTGTGTGTGTGTGTCTGTGTATTCGTCTGTACCGATTTTTCATCTCGGGAACTACAAATTTTTTTCGGAAACTTAATCTTAATCAAATTTCGGAAATTTTCGGGAATTTTTTTTTTCGGAAACTTAATTTCGGAAACTTAATCTACATGCATGTACGGCCCCCACCCCCAAAATCGGCGCTCTTACGCGCGTGGTACCCACGTACGAGCCTGCCAAAGTTTTTTACGGGTAAGCTGCTAACTCGAGAACCAGAAAAGCTGGGAGGCTGAAATTTTAAGGGGACGTTCCCCGTTCAAGTAGGTATTAATGGGCTCAAATCCAGCCCCTGGGTAAGCGTGGTGCCCACGTATGGGTCCGCCAAAATTTTTTTCGAGTAAACTGATAACTCGAGAACCTGAAAAGCTAGAAGACTAAAATATTAAGAGAGTCCTACGCACGGGTTCACCAAAGTTTCTTCGGGCAAGTTGCTAACTCGAGAACCTGAAAAGCTAAAAGACTGTAGTTTTAAGATGTTCCCCATCAAAGTAAGTCCCAACGAGCTCAAACCCAGACATCGGCACGCGTGGTACCCGCGTGCGGGCCCGTGAAAGTTTTTTCAGTAAGTTGCTAACTCAGGAGCCAGGAAAGTTAGAAAGCTGAAATTTTAAAGGGGCGTTTCCTGTCAATTCTGGCGGCCAGTCATAACTTGTTTAGCTAGAAGCATTTGCCGGAAAAACCGATGCCGGTGGCGACAAAAACTGCGGGGAACTATGCAAAAAACGCATCTTCACACGGGCAGCCCGTGCGTTGGCCA